ATAGAGTACTTGTGAAAATCAATATGATAATGCATGTAAAGCTCTTAACAGAATGTCTAGTAAAAGCCCATGCTCAGGAAGTGCCAGCTGATTTTAAGTTAGAATAATGTTCACCGTGACCAATCTGTTCTTTACAAAGTGTATGTATTTGAGATCTACTGGGGGACACATTTCCCCCACCAGAAACTTTTCTGGCACCAACACGTGAGCACAAGCTCATTCCTGAGTGTGACGCGTGAGTGTATGGCCTGCTCAGCTGAGGGGGGGAGCATTCTCTGGATTCTCTAAATTGTTGCCGTCCCAGCCCACACCGTGGACCTTCGGATCTTCAGCAGAAGACAGAAAAAGGAGAAATTCTGGTACCAGAAAGGAGACAAGATTATTCCAGCAACCATGGGACTAGTCCCTTCAGATCGGACTGGCCTGGGGCAGCGCAGCTCAGAGTTAGTGAAAGTGTGGTTGCGTTTGGGTTTGTGGGGAGTGGGGTGGCTGGCAAGCCGGAGAGGGCTGCGAAGTCTGGGTCAGGCACCCAGTTAGTTATACAACCTCCTGGGTCCAGAATTTTTGTCCTGAAACAAAGAACCAGAACAGCCAAGCATTGAACCAAAAACAACAACAACAAAAAAAGTGTTTCCCATGGATATTTGTTTAGTGTACTTTTTCAAGCAAATAAAGGGTAGCAAGAAGCTATACTGTAGTTACACAGTGACAGTGGCCTGCCAGCCACACCCCAAACATTTTGCAGTTATTATCAGCTCATTCCTTAGTGTAATCTCCCTCTGAGGAAATTAGGTACCAAAAAATTCTCTTCCCCACCCTCTTCACACAGGATGCCATGACCCCATGCACATACCATTCTGTTTGGGGGAGGGAGATAAAAAGTCTGAATTTATTACAGTGATTGCTTCCAGTGGATAATCAATCCAGAACTGGATACAGTGACCCTGTGTGCATGCCATGGCTTATGAGAAGCAGTCCTTTTAGAATAGCAAAAATAAAATACCAGTTTGGAACCACCAACACCTCTCCCCTCAAGAGACCTAAATGCAAAGTCATTCTGAATTCACTGCAACTGTTTGCATTAATATTACTAATCCAATGATGAGCAACCCTGGCTGACATAGGCATGGGATCCTGTGCAGAGTGCCCAGAAATCTAGTCGGCTGCCAGGCATGGGTGATGCACGGGCATGTTTTCTGTACCAATTCATGTCTCTTCATGTTAGTATGTGCAGATGTTCTTTGTTGTTGTTTTCCTAAGTCTCTGGTTATAACTGTAATTCTTGATAATTCTTGACATAAGAATGTCATCAGAGCTTCTGTTACGCCCTCCCAGGGGCATGCCCCCCTTTCCAGAATGAGCATCACTGGGTTTTGAACAGCAAGGCAACAAAGCCAAGGTCATGGCTCAAGCACTATGCAAGCTAGTTGTCTTCCCTATGCTCCATATGTGCACATGGAACTCCAAAACCTGCCCTATGTGCTCCCAAATGGATGCCTTATGTCAGAAGGTAGCCCAGACGAGGAAGAAATGGATAGGGGTAACTTAATCACCTTTAGAGGCTGTTGGGGAGACTCAGATTGCACTTTGTGTATTGTATATGCATATAATTATACAATTATGATCCAGAATGGAAAAGCAAATTCATTTGAGGACTATCTGGATATCATCCTGTAGGTCAACATAGTTATTCATTCAACAAGCTTATTTGATTACCTATTCTATGTCGGGTTCTATACTTGGTGCTTAGACTCTATGATATATAAGACACAGCATGAGCCTTCAATGAAATCATTATAAAGAGGCAGGGTGGAAGTAGGGAGGGAGAGAATTGGCTCTCTCTGAGCAGATCAGAAAAGACTTCTGGAGGGAGAGCATCTAAGTGGGAATTTAGAGATGAATATGAGTGTGTCAGGCTCAGTGGAGATAGGCAGGCAGATGGAAACTACCTGAGCCAAGGCATGGAGGCATGAAGTGCAGGGTGAGTTTAAAGAACAGTGAGTAGCTAGCTATTAGTGGAGTACACATTGTGCAGGAGATCACGTCAGGAAAGTAGAGCAATGGATGACTCAGTGTGTACAGGTTTGGTTATTATTCATTTACTGAACAAATATTTATTGAGCCCTTACTAAACACAGGGATTTAGACCCGGAGGTAGGAACTTAGGATAAAAGGAGAGGAGATAAGACATGAATCTGCAAAACTACCTTATAAAGTAAGGTGCTTTCCTCGAGGGAGGACAACATCAGAAGAGGCTTTTATTCATTCGTGTTCATCAGTAACAATGGATTGAGCACTAAATGGGCACCCACCAACACAAATTATAAGATATGCTTCTTGCAAGGAAGGAGGTAGCAGTCTAGTGGAATAAACAGACAAATAGAACATATTATACTATATTCAACAACCAACATAATCACATTTATTGACAGCTTACTAAATTCCAGACATGGATCTAAGCGCTTTATGTTGATCAGTTGATCCTCACACAGGAAGTAGGTATGATTATTGTCTGCATTTCACAGATGGCAGTCAGAGCCAGAGAGGTTACTTGCTCAATCAAGGTCACACAGCTAAGATTAAAATCCAGGCAATTTGAGTCCACATTATCTTAACCACTGCTCCAGAGAACTGTAGAAGCATGGAAGAGAAACATATAAACCAGCCTAGAGGAGGCCGGGGAAGACTAATTCTTCCACTCCACCATTAGTTATGTCCTCTCTGAGGTCCCCAGGGAATATAAAGATAGCTTATAGACTCATGCCAAATTCATAATAGTTATCAGATTGTGTACCATCTAGAGTTGAAGCTCAAAAGAGTAAACTTTTTCCCCCAAAGTTTACCTAGCTTACATTTCTCATTCAAATTACTGTACTTTTCCCAATCCCCTCTATCCCCATAAACACCAAATCTCATTGTATGCTTCCAGGGTCTTTATCAAGAGAAGTATAAAGTTTACAGGGAAGATTCTAATATTTCTTTTCAGGGGACTTCTTGGGGCTCCCAAGAAGTTTATGTTATCTAATACCTTTTGCATAGCACTGTGAAAATTCCTGGCTGGATTTGTATACTGTTAATTCATTTTGTATCAGTTCCAATGTCCTGTTTGCAAAATGAAGAAACTAGAATTGTATTTCTCATTCAAATTACTGTAACTTTTCCAACTCCCACCTAATTCAGCCCCCTCTAACCTCATAACCACCATGGACATCAGGTTGGCAAATAACAAGAAAGGGAGAGTTGTGAGAAGTTGTAACTTTAATGATTTTGTTACAAACCTCATCATAAATAGATGGTGAAAAAGTCAAATAAGAGTGCAGAATGCTGAAAGATGACATTCTTGGAGAAGAAGTCCAGGATGAGGAGATCTGTGTCAGTTAAGACAGCATTTGTCTGCATGTAACAACCAAACTAGAACAACCTAAGCAAATAAAGAATGTTTCTCTTATAACATAACCAGAGCCCAGGCCAGGACAGATGTCGGCATCCTGCCAGGCTCCTTCTGTTTTCCTGTTCTGCTGTTATCTTTGCAAGATCACAGGTATACTTTCAGGTATCAAGCCGTATTCATGACAACAAGAAGGGCAAAGGGCAAAAGGTAAAAGGAAGAAGCTAGCGACCTCTGTCCCCTTTGAAAATTTTTTCCCAGAAGCCACACCCTGCAACTTCCATTTAAATCTTGTTGGCCAGATTGCTGCAGGGGAGTCGGGGCTTGTCAGTGCATTAACTCGGCACATGCCACCCCCAGCAAAGCAGGGTTTTGATAATAATAAAAGTGGAGAGCATGCATGCTGGCTGGGCAGCTAGCAGTGCCTGCAACATTACTCTAAAATTCTCCAATTAAAAAAAAAATAGAAAGGCAAGTCAAAACATTTTAAAATGCCAGGAAATGCAGCTAATTGAATAAATCTGAGCCTGATTGTATCTAAGTAATTCCTGTAAAGTTACTTAGGTAATCCATGGCCCTAAATCTCATGGGATGAATAGGAGTTAGGTTCAGAGAGGGCAGAGCATTCCCAGCTAAGTCACTGACGTGTGAAACATTTTGCATGGGAAATTACAATCCATTCCCTGTTTCCAGAGAATAAATTGCAAAGTAAAGAATATTAGGAAGGTAACTGGGCCAGATTATAGAAGGCTTCTGTGGATGCTTTAAAAATGTGTTTATCGGAAGCCAGGAGGGGCTAAGTCAGACTTACAAAATTCCTTTGTATGTAAAGTAACCTATATGCTAAGCTATTTGTTGATGAAAAGAGAATTTAGAGGTTACATTGGTCAGTAAATAGAAGGAATTGCATCTCTCATTCTCAGAACAGACTAAAGGAATATCTGAACAGCTATTATGGGGAAGCTCTGAAAATCCTTACAATTCGATGTAATCATTCCTTACCCATTTTGTTCCTTAGTGATCACAGAGCAAATGCCCGGTGGCTTTGTAGCTACTCCCCACTGTGTCTGATGTCAAGCATTTATTTTCTAAACATCCAACAGACAGGAAGTTTCATGAAATAGTGTGGAAGAAAGGAGAAGGTAGATAGGCCTGTTTGCTAAGCTTTTCCGACAACAGTCCTCATTTTTCTCTAGGAAAAACAAAGGGGCTGCCTTTAAACAACCGGCCTCCAATATCTAGGGGTGTCGTGGCCATGGCCATGCCCATGCATCCTGTTCCCTCTGAGGCCATGTTCATAATTTGCAAAGACTCTTGTGTTTAAGGGCTTTCTCCTAGTGTCCTTCTCAGTCAGAACATATCCAGTATGTTTATGTTGACACTTCCAGGTGAGCTCTTCTGCTTTGGATTAGTCAAAATCATAAGCAGTCAGTAAGGCTCAAAAAGGTGTCAAACATGGGGTGGTGTGTGGGTCATCACAGCCCTCCATGCCTGGAGCCTGGAGTGGCCTCCTGAAAAAGCAGGCATTAATCAGGCTGCCAGCAGTCACTTCTGAGTGCCCATGCATGGGCATGTAAGCTGTAAGCTCTCTCCTTCCATCTCTTAAACACAGATTCTACGAGCACAGGAGGAGTTCTGTAGTGCTCAACTTATCTGGACTTGAGGTGTTCCCTGGGGACTTTCTGGTGTCAGATGGAGCTGCCAGTTACCTGTGCCACCCGCTTCTGCTGCTGAATTCAGGTCCTGTCCATTCACCATACTTATATTACATACCTGCTATGGGATGGGTGTCATAATAAGCAAAGGGTATTTTCAGAATATTTAATGACTAATAGAACATGGGCACTGACACATTAGAACAGATGTCTCACCAATTAGGACAAGCATCAGCCATGAGTTACTGGAACCAGCTGAATACTGCTCTTGGTATTGGGCATTCCACTTACAGAGATAGATAAGGGATGGATAAGGTATAGACCTTTCTTCAAAAGGTCCTCTTGTCAAATAATATACCCCACATCTAGGACCTGGAACAGGTACACCAGTGACGGTCACCATCCTGGAGCAGCATGCCCTCTCTGGGCTGGTGGGCAGCATCACTGTCATTGCTGTAATGCCACCCCCCACCCTGTTCTGGCCTTCAACCTCACACTGGTATCTTCTAACCACGGTGGTACCGTGTGGAGGCAGCGGGCCCAGTGACAGCAGATTACTGTTAGAGCAGATTAGAGAGAGGCAGCCTTAGGGATAAATCTGCATTTTGAACTCAGTTGTGAAAGAAAAGAACAATTGTGGTGTTCAGGACACATTCCCATGATTCTGATGGTAGCCTTTGAGAGCTAAAAGGAGACTTCAAGATCATCATCCATCCTGGTAGTTTTTAAACTGGTTTTGTTCTTAGCAGAGCTCTTTTTACAAAAGAATCCTTACTTGGAAATCCAGCCTATAAAACAGATCCAGGTGGAGTTGTAGTGCTTGAAAATGGGGCAGGTCCCAAAGACTCACCTCCAAGGCATCCCTAGAAGCCCAGGATAGCCTGTGACAACACACATGGAAAACCACCAGGCTGTTTCCTCATTCACATATGTGCCAAGTGAGACCCAGAAAGGAGAAGTGGCCTAGCCATGGTGCCAGCTGGTTTGTGTCAGAGGAATGGGATCGAGACTCCTGACTCCTAACCCTGTATACGCTCCACCAGCCTGCATCAACCACCCATTACACAGGCAGCTGTGAATAAAGCATAACTAACATATGTATAGCTCTTCACTCTTTATAGAGCCCTTTCACATCTACTGTCCTATATGACACAACAATCCAAATGCCCAAATGAATGAACCAAGAGGGAATTAAGTGATCTACTCAAGGACAGGCTCCTAGAAATTAGAGCTAGTTCTAAGCACAGCTAACCTTAAGAGGTTAGTACATGTTCTGTGATGCTTTGCAAATGCTCTAAACTGGTTAAAAACTAAAGCAGTACTTCTCAAATACTGGTCCCAGGCTAACAGCTTCAGCATTGCCTGGGAAATTCTGGGGTCCCATGCCACACCGTCTGAATTAGAAACTCTGGGGATGGGGCCCAGCAATATGTTTTTTAATAAGCCCCCCCAGGTGATTCTGATACCAGCTAAAGTTTGAGAACCAGCATGCTAAGGAACAAGGTCATAATTGCTGCATGCTGTTCTTTGTTAAGTTCTCTGCTAGGCATGTGTGCCTGGCATCACAGTAGATACCACGTAATAAAAGATATGCAGCATTCTTCACCATATCCCTCCAAGCCCTCTTCTCTAGGAGGTTAGAATAGAGTTCTCATGTCCCCGTCATGGTCTAATGCAGTGCTTCTCAAGCTCTGATGTGCATATGAGTCACCTAGAGATATTGTTGAAATATAGATTCTGATTCAGCAAAACTTAATATTTAATAAAGATAATAAAAGATTAGGGATTCAATAGAGACACAATTTAAATTTTCTTCTGAATACTTGTGAAGATTTCCCAAGGTCCTAAAATTACCCCTGAAGTTAGAAAAGCAGAGGAGAGAAATTTGCTAAGACAAGAGATCCCAATTATTGCAGTTCAAATCATACATAATAATTTACCACCAGGCATTTGAAGCCTAAGAGAGGTGAAGCAGATTTGCCTCTGAGGGAAGTTCCACCTAATCTCCCCTTTACAAAGGTCAAAAAGGTGGTCAGAATGAGCAGGATAATCGGTTGGATTCCAGGGTTCCAATGAGAAAAGTCCCTCAAGCACACTGATTTTTAGTAAATGCTGCTCAGGTAATTGTTTTCATCTGATGGAAGTATTATGCAGTCTCCTGATAAACTAGTAGAAACAGAGATGAACCTTTAAAACATCCATTTTGTGTACTGAGTTATCAGAACATCTCACCAAAACCTAAGAGATGATTCCCACGTTTTTCTGGGTAGCATTAGAGATTGATGCAAATGACATAAAAATCAAGAATCCACAATCTAATCTCTTTACTTCCTGATCATCAAAAGAATGTATTACTGAAAAATGACTTCCTTTTCAATTTAAAGCAACTCCTAAGGAATATGTGGATGGTGGCCAATAGAGATAATAAGCCCCCAACCTAAAGATTGGTGACATGGGTTGATGTGCCCCTATTTCAGGAATCTACACTCAACCACACCTGGGGGTTATCAGGCCAATGCAGTCTCTGAGTCTCAAGTTTGGTCAGGCTATTGAAATTGCATATGGTGGGGTGGTTTCCAGTATAAAAATAAAGTCCTTTCAGCCCTAAAGTCCTGTGACTCTGTCTTAAAAGAATACTCAACATTTTATTGCATTTTATAGATTTCTCCTTGAATGATGGGGGGGAAAGGAGGCTGAAACAGGACAATATCACCATAAGGTAGCAATAGTACACCAGCCTTTCAGTTGGAACATCGCTTCGTTTACTCATCTGCATAAATATAAATATTCATCCTGTGCATTCTCAAGAGAAGGAGAATTAAAGCAGGACAAATTCTGTTCGGCTCATTTGAAAAGCAGGTTTTGTAAAGCACTCCATTGATCTGTCAGTAGTTACTCAAAGTACTAATATATCTTCTTTAATTTCACCCACCAGAATCCAAAAAGCCAAGATGGCCTTTCTCCAAGAGAGGAGTGGTGAGTGTTGTGCATTGTCATTTTTGTTTTAATTAAGCCTCCAGTAGCTAGGAAAGTAAGAAATGGCTAAAGAGCCTCTTCATCCTACTTTATCTTTTCATGACAGCAGATGGTACGTGAAGTTTAAATTGTATCATCACATTCATAGTAGTGGATACAGAACTTGCCAAATGATGCCACTTTGTGCAGTGATACAGTGCTAATTGCCAGTGGTTAATGAGCTCTGCAAGAAAACAAAGCAATCCTAATATTGCAGTGCCTTACAGCTCCAAATTTATAACTTGACACAGTGTGGGAAACAGCTCACTCGATGAAGAAAACTTGCACAAGCGTATGCCCCAGTTTGCAGTCTGTGCCCAGTATACTGGGAACATTGAAAAATTAATGAGATATTACAGAAACAGATTCCACAAATACACTTCTATTTCTGGGAAAGCCAGTTGGATTAGACCTAGCGGGTTTTCTTTAAATTCATTCTTGCACCCTCAATTATTGAAGAGTTATAAATTGAAATCAGTAGTGCCTGATTCTTTCCTGCCTAGGTCAGGAGTTAGCCACAGTGAAGCCTTTCTCGCAAGCATGCTGGGGGCAGAGGGAAGGAGTGTTCCTCGCTTCTGGAGTGAGGAGGAAGGAGAAGGACTGACTGTGTTCTCCCCACAGTACCTACACACCACAGCCAGCAGCACCAAGAGGGCCTTATGAGTAGTTACTGCACTTCTTTCTGTTAAAAATCTGCCCACATGGCCTCTGCAGTTGGCCACCAATTATCGACATCTACCTTGGAGGTTCTGTGGATGCACACACATTGATACTTAACTACTGTAGCTAAATTAAAAGTCCTCTGAGGTTTCAATCCCAGCTGCTCCATGTACTGCCCTGTGACCTTGGTCAAATGAATCCATGTCTCTCTCAGCTTCAAGTCCTTCCTGTAAAAAGTAGGTGGTAATAGTGGCAGCCTCTTAGGATGGTTGTGACAAGTGAGTCAAATAATGCGAGTGAAGCTCACCCTGGAGCTGGGCACCTGAGACAGTCGTTACTGGCCATATTATTGTTAGTGTTGTTCATAACCAGGGCTTGGAAAACTGTGTTCCCATAATCAAGTATAGGAGTGACTTTCACATTATTTTTTCAAGGGTTAAAAAGTTGTGTGAATGTCTTACTCCCCTTGGGCTGCTGTAAAATACCACAGACTGGGTGGCTGAAACAACCAGTATTATTTCTCACATATCTGGAGGCTGGGAAGTCCAGGATCGGGGTGCCAGCATGGTCGGGTTTTGGTGAGAGCTCTTTTCCTGGCTTACCGATGGCCATCTTCTCTCTGCGTCCTCACGTGGTGTAGAGAGAGCTCTGGTGTCTCTTCCTCATCTTATAAGGGTACTAATCTCATTGTGAGGGCCCCACCCTCATGACCTCATCTACGTGTAATTACTTTCCAGTGGTTTCACCTCCAAATACCATTGTGGGATTAGGGCTTCAACATGGATTTTTTGGGGGGGAAAGAAACATTCAGTCCATAGGGACACAGTCTAAACATTACAAGTTTCAAATCATAAACTGTTAGTAAAACTATGATACCATTGTCACCAAGGCTGTTGCTCACCAATCTTTCTCATTTTGCCCCTCTTTAGGGACATGATTTGACTGTTTTCCTGGCAGGCCTGAGACAGGGCCTGTGGTGCAACCTCTCCTGGGATCCTTCCTTCCTTCCACCCTCCCTTCCTTCCTTATTTAATATCTTTACTGGAGTATAATTGCTTTACAATGTTGTGTTACTTTCTGCTGTACAACAAAGTAAATCAGCTATACATATATCCCCATATCCCCTCCCTCTTGTGTCTCCCTCCCACCCTCCCTATCCCACCCCTCTAGGTGGTCACAAAGCACTGAGCTGATCTCCCTGTGCTATGCAGCTGCTTGCCACTAGCTATCTATTATACATTTGGTAGTGTATATATGTCAGTGCTACTCTCTCACTTCATCCCAGCTTCCCCCTCCCTGCAGCGTCCTCAAGTCTGTTCTCCACATCTGCGTCTTTATTCCTAGGTTCATCAGTACCGTTTTTTTAGCTTCCATATATGTGCGTTAGCATCTGGTATTTGTTTTTCTCTTTCTGCCTTACTTCACTCCGTATGACAGACTCTAGGTCCATCCACCTCATTACAAATAACTCAGTTTCATTCCTTTTTATGGCTGAGTAATATTCCATTGTATATATGTGCCACATTCATCTGTTGATGGACACTTAGGTTGCTTCCATGTCCTGGCTATTGTAAATAGAGCTGCAATGAACATTTTGGTACATGACTGTTTTTGAATTATGGCTTTCTCAGAGTATATGCCCAGTAGTGGGATTGCTGGGTCGTATGGTAGTTATATTTTTAGTTTTTTAAGGAACCTCCATACCGTTCTCCGTAGTGGCTGTATCAATGTACATTCCCACCAACAGTGCAGGAGGGTTCCCTTTTCTCCACACCCTCTCCAGCATTTATTGTTTGTAGATTTTTGATGATGGCCATTCTAACCGATGTGAGATGATATCTCATTGTAGTTTTGATTTGCATTTCTCTAATGATTAATGATGTTGAGCATTTTTTCATGTGTTTGTTGGTGATCTGTATATCTTCTTTGGAGAAATGTCTGTTTAGGTGTTCTGCCCATTTTTGTATTGGGTTGTTTGGTTTTTTTGATATTGAGCTGCATGAGCTGCTTGTATATTTTTCCTTCCTCATTTAAATGAAAGCAGGGTCAGTTGTCAATCGGGTCTAGGGTCTCAGGAGAAGCGGCATATCCCACCAGCTTGCCAATTCAAGTTCAACCACTACAGAATCCATATATTCTCATACAGTTAGCCCTCTGTGTCTGTACATTCTGCATCCTTGAATTCAACCAACTACAAATGAAAAATATTTGAAAAAAAATTCCAGAAATTTCCAAAAAGCAAAACTTGAATTTGCCATCCACCAGCAACAATTTACACAGAATTTACATTGCGTTATGTATTACAAGTAATCTAGAGATGATTTAAACTGTATGGGAGGATGTGTGTGGATTATATGTAAATCCATTTTATAAATTGGACTTTAGCATCTGAGGATTTTGGTATCCAAAGAGGTCCTGGAACCAATCCCACTAGGATACTGAGGGACGACTGTATATCCATTTTACTCCAGTTCCGTGTCACCAGTGCCTACTACAAATTTCCATTCCACACGTCTCTTAGTTATTAAATTTGAGGCCCCAGAATTAACCTTGCTTCTTTTCTTTATCCTCCATATCCTCTCAGATACCCTTCACATCTTCTCATTGCGTCTCCTAGCCAATGCCACCATAGTGGAAGCAGCACAGGTTCCAACAAAGGGTCTGTAACTCTAATGAGTCAATGTTTCCTCCAAGAGGACTGTCCCCTCCCTTCTCACTAGCATATCCACCAAGCACTTTGGCCAGGAGGTCATTCAGACCCTTGGAAAGCCACGGTGATTGTCCTTCAAGACAGAGGGCTGGCGCCCCCTTTCCCACAGCTCCAATGCCTCCTCCATTGCCTCAGCTTCTTTATTTTCCAACTGGCTGCTGATTTTTAATTTCCACAACATGCAGTCACTGTGGTTTCAGACATCAACAAAAGGCATACGTCCCAGCTGCTGTGTAGGTCCCCAACCAGCTCCAGGATTCCTTTGCTACTGTGAAGCCTATAAGTCTCTAGTAAGTTTCTTCTTTCAGTGCCGTAGCCCTAGCAGAGAAGTCAGCCACAGCCCTTTAGCACTTTCTGAACCGATTGCGGGGTCTCCTTTCAGACACACAGGGAGCTGCCTCCCCACAACGGATAAGCTGTGCCTTCTCTGGCTCCTTAACCTAAAGTCGGAAAACGCCCACCAAACTGCTTAGATCCACACCATCGTCATGTGCCCTGAGGCAGTAGAACAAGTTGAAAAATGATTTGTGCTAAATATTCATTTGAAATGCAGCCAAGTTGACTTTAGAAAGCCTCACACTTCGTTATTTGATAGCTTCTTCCTGGTTTAGTTGGTAAAATGAGCTCTTTAAGAAAGTAATTCATGACATTGCACCAGGATATTGAATGAGTCAGAAAAAATTGAAAGGTCATGATAAAGTTTAGAAGCAAGTTACAAAAGGATGTATAAATATGACACCATTAAAAATTAATTATAAATACAATCAGAAAAAGGTTTTCAGTAGTTACCCCGAGGGGAGGAAGGGGCGGTGGAGATTACAGGTAACTTTGTGTAACTTTTTTTCTTTGTGGTTTTGTTTCTCAGATTTTCTATAATAACCATATATTACCTTTGTAATCCAATTTTTTTTTTTTTTTTTTTTTTTTTTTTTGCGGTAGGCGGGCCTCTCACTGTTGTGGCCTCTCCCGTTGCGGAGCACAGGCTCAGCAGCCATGGCTCACGGGCCCAGCCGCTCCACAGCAAGCAGGATCCTCCCGGACAGGGGCACGAACCCGCGTCCCCTGCATCGGCAGGCGGACTCTCAACCACTGTGCCACCAGGGAAGCCCTGTAATCCAATTTTTTAACTAATATTATTTAAAATAAAAATTATAACAAAAATGAGTCAGAGGTTCCATCCTAAGGAAACTAGAGTTTCTAGCATATCCTGGTATTCTTCAGCTGTGAATTATCGTGTTAAGAAGTTGCTTTAACACTCTGGGCTTTATTTAGTCATCTACTAAGTGAGGGGTTGAACTAAGACATCCAAGGCCCCTTCTCATGGTAAGCTTCTATGATCCAACATTTGGAAAAGTTAGAATATGAGGACTCCAAGACCACAAGGTATGTGCTAGACTGAAATCCATCTATTTGCTATAGGAGTGTTCTGAGCTCTTTTTTTTTTTTTTTCCTATTAGTAAAATGAGAGATTTGCACCAGACATCCTCACCAGCCTCTCTCCTCCATGTCTGACATTCTGAGGTCCTGTGGGTCAGACTATGGCTCAGAAATGGTGTCTCAGCTGTTAGTGACTCATAGACAAAATGTGCAGTCTGTTCTCATGCATGTTGGACAATGAACCAAAGATGCCGAGGCTACCAAAGGTGTGTTGTTAAAAGATTGAAAATCCTGTTTCTAACAATCTTTAAGGAGGGCAAAGACAAACACAAGCACATATCTGCCTCTCCTCTTTGAAGATTACAGACTTCAGGGACTATGAGTTCCACAGACTGAAGGTATCTCATGCATTGTTTTCTGCGTGGCATAGCTTTTTTTGTTGTTTCAGCCATTATTTTAAGTTGTCAGATTATTGGCTTGTTCATAATAACAGCAAAGTGCAGGAGAGAAGCCCAGACCTGGGCAGACCGAGGTCTGCTCTCTCTAAAGCAGGGGTCACCAACCCTACCAGTCCGAGGCCCGTTAGGAACTGGGCCACGCAGCAGGCGGTGAGCAGCAGGCGAGCGAGCGAAGCTTCATCTGCCACTCCCCATCGCTCGCATTACCTCCTGAACCATCCCCCCGCCCTGCCCTCTGTGGAAAAATTGTCTAACGAAATCTGTCCCTGGTGCCGGAAAGGTTGGAGACCGCTGCTCTAAAGCACACTGAAATCTCAGGAAAGTCATTTCACCTTAAGTAAGGTAATGGACATGAGACCACTTTGTAGACCATGAAGCCCTGTACAAATGTTAATAGTGGTTACAACCATTCCCCTCTCTGGGCCTTAGTTTCCTCATTTACAAAACAAGTTGGTTTTGATAAGACAATTTCTGAAAGTCTCTTAAAAACTTTAAGTCTCTTATTTCATGATTCTTCAGTAATTAATTTCAACAAGTTTTACCAGTGGAACCTGGATCAGACTTCCCAGTTCCGGGTTTGGGGTTCTTTTGGTGGGTTGTTTTTTTTTTTTTGCAAAAAACTGAAAAGGACTTATGAAATTCGCAAGCATAGTTCAAAACATCAATTTGAATTCGTTTTCATTTTAAACTAAAAATAGCATGTCCATCCCATGCATGGGAGGAATTGATACTCCAAAGCCATGCAGAGAGAACTGTGGCTTAGATAACTCTACCCAGAGGGATGTCTGGGGCTTGCAGTGAGAAATCATGATTTGGGGAATTGCTTGTTCCTGCTGTACTGCAAGTCAGAGGAAGGGTGAACAGGTCAACCCATCGAAATGTTTTGTTCTCTCTTTTCTCCCACATACAGGATAAGACCTGGAATGAAGTCGTGGAAACACATCAAAAACTTCCTACTAATCAATTAGACCTGAGAAAGCAGCAAGAGGCTGTGTGGGAACTCTTCACGAGTGAATGCACTTATTTCTTGGACCATTTATTAGTTCTTAAGATGGTAATGCTGGCTTTAATTTTTGTAGTAGGTGGAAAACACTGCTTCTTTAGGGAGTTGTTTCTCTCTTCCATGCTGAAGGGAGGAAGGAAGTATGGGGTGGGCTCCCCTCTTTCAGAGGATCTTAAGGAAATTTTGTTTATTTTTGGTTATCTGCAACTTGGTTTCTCTTCATTCTTTTCTTAAACATAGCCTCTTAGGATTGGGTGAGACCTTCCAGCTGCCCATGTGATGTCTGAATCTCTTCTGCCTGATTCTCACCCTGTGCTTACATACTCCTCAAGTCAGGGAGCTCACAGCCACCCTCAAGGCAACCATCCCACCTTCGTTCAGCTTCCTCTTTTGGCTCTTATACTCCCTTATGAACAGTGCCAGGCAAATGCTTTTTATCAGCTACGGAGCCACAGATTTTCAGGGCAACCATCCACGTGTAACGCGGGGGTGGGTGGGGAGGGGTGAATTATACGGTGTGTTCACGATGTCTGTCATGTAAACGGTGCTCCTGAGGTTGTGCAGTGCAGTAGCCCTGATCTGGGGAGGCTCTGAGCAGAGAATTCCTTATAGAAGAACCACAGGGCAAAGGATAGGAAGGGAGCAAATGCCTTCTAAGACCACAGAGGAGGATGGGCCACATTGCTCCAAAGGTTGCCTCTGCCCATAAGCATTTTTGAATCCTGGCTGCTCCCTTACGCAGGAAAAGGCACTGTGTTGGGAGACACGAGTTCAAGTCCTGGATCTGCCTCTGACTTGCCATGTGAACTTAGGAAAGTCTAGTCCTCCATTCCATAAAACAGAAGTTGGCGCATGCTTTCTGTAAATGTGTCCAGATAGTAAATATTTTAGGCTTTGCCAGCCATGTGGTCTTTATTGCAGCTACTCAACTCCTCCATTGCAGTGCAAAAGAAGCCACAGATAATTTGTAAAGAAATGTGTGTGGCTGTATTACAGTTACACCTTATTCACACAAATGGGTAGCAGACCTGATTTATCCCACAGGCTGTCGTTTGACAATTCCTGTTCTAAGCTATAAAAGAGAGATAACAGTACTATCTCTGACTGTCTAATAACATCTGATCATTGAGATGATCAGATTAGTTTCCTTTGAAATCTATCAAGTGCTATACAGATGTTCTTTTCTGTAAGTAATATTTATTGTGACAGTCATATTGCTAAGAACTTTAGCAAAATTTAAACCACAAAGACACTCAGAAAGTTAAAACTTAGAGACTGTATCAGGATACAGAAAACTAGCTTAAGTAAGGATCTTATTGACCCATGTGACAGTAAAGTCCAGAGTTGAGACAGAATTCAAGGTTGGCTTGATCAAGGGGATCAAAAGCAAGGACAAAATTTCTTTTCATCCCTCATCCCTGCCTTCCACAATATCAGTGTCATCCTGTGTCTGGCTTCTGTTGTAGTCACAGAGTGACTGCTGTCCTTGAGGCCACGGAGAGAGTGAGAAATAGAAGGGAGAGAAAGAGAATCTCAGCGCACTCATAGCCAAAGTCTTGATTGTCATTCTGATTGGACTGCCTTAAGTCACATGCCCACTTCTGAGCCAACTACCCGGATAAGGAAGGAAAGTGCTCATTGGCTTAAGATGATCACATTCAAGGTATGAGGAAGAGTAGATGCTGAGGTGAAAACTGGGATGATATTAGAGAAGGGGGGGCACTGAAGCTGAGTGGTACCCAATAGATGTGCACTGCAGAGCACTCACCCTGTGAGCTCTGCTACCTCCCTTGCCCTAATAGACAGTACAGAACTTTCCATCCCACTATAAGCTACATAAGCTTTTTAAACTAGCATTTTTCTGCTTAAAAGAAAGCCAATTTGAGTTTATTTTCAAATGCCCCGGTGTATTTAAAGTATATAAGTACCTCTCTTTACACAATCAATATGAATTTCCCAAAGTTGCTTGTAAATTGGAACTTTGTAACAAATAATAAAATAAATTCACTGAAAGACTCAATGTTTTTCTTAAATGGCAAAAATTTCTATAAAGAAAATAATCTTATAACACAAAGATGATTTTTTTCTAAATTTTCCCAATTTATCTGAACTAATGATTTCTGTTTCTTACAATTACATGTTTTAAATGCTTGGATATTGACAGATTTCCAGACAACTGATGCTTCCTGGACTGGGGGAAGCTCTGAGCCAGTGGTTCTCAAAGTGTGATCCCTGGACCAGTAGCATCAGAATCACTTGGGAACTTGTTAGAAACCCATATTCTCAGACCCCATCAGAGACCTACTGAATCAGAAAGACTTGGGGTAGGTCCCGCTAACCTCCAGTTTAACAAGGCCTCTAGATGATTCTGATGCAAGTTCAAGAACCATTTACTGCATTAATTAAGAAATATGGAAATGGGAATTGGAGAACGCTGGTGGTCTAAAGTCCAGTCTTTTCACACCGACAGTTGTTGAAATATTTGGTCCCTTTGAATGCTTCATCATATTTATACAAAGTATTCCTGTTTCAATAAATTGATCTCTCTTTAGTTTATAGAATGAGAGGCAGGTATTCTGCGAGGATTGACTTGCTGTAGTTTTTCTCTTGTACGAAAACATCAAATCAAGTAATGACATAAAGCCTCTCTTAGTGTTTTCATTAATATTTAATGGCTTTATCCACATCTAAACATCTTACCAGTTATCAGGTATTAACTCATTAGTTCTCTATTTTTAATTTCCTGAAAGTAAAGGACATTTGGGTCTTTCACAGAGAAAGGAATAAATAAGAACTCAGTATGAATGTTGTTTTGGTCTCAAGTAAGTGCTGTTGGCAAGAAGAGAACCTTGGCGATTTCTTTGGCACTGGGAGCAGAGAAAGCCCATCTGAACAGATTATGTTCAACAGGAGTGTTAGGGCTCACAAAGCAGCAGCAGCTTCATACAGAAGAGCACCTCTCCCGTATGTTCTGTGGGGGCTTAAATGTCATCATTTGTGTTTAGCACACCTCTTAACGATTGAAAATACTGATCTCCAAGTTGTTTTGTAAAATTATACTTGGGAGGTTTATGTTTAATGTTCTTGCAAAGGGCAAATATCAAAATTGAAAAACAAAGTAATGTGCTTTTTTTTTTTTAAGATCTTCATGAATACATTAAAATACCTACAGACTCATGGATATCTCCTGGATGTGGATTTATGGAGACTTTTTGCAAACCTGGAGGAGTTAAGTCAGGTGAGCCAAAGTAGGAAGATTCCAGTAGCCATGTGTTAAAATTCACCAGAGGACAATGAAAGTTCATGCTTAGTCTATTCTTCTGGCTTGTATTCCATATTGGAACATGGAATATGGTTTCTTCTATATTTCATCCCCATTTAATCTTATGGTCGGGAGTTCAGGTTAATAAGGAAACCTACACATCCATTGGTATCTTTCCAATAGATGGCAGTTATTAGTTTGCCTTCAGTAACATTTTAAAAAATTCTTCCATGGCTATTTAAGAAAGTAAACATAGGGCTCACTTCAGCAGGACATGTACTAAAATTGGAGCGATAAAAGGATTAGCATGGTTCCTATGCAAGGATGACACAAAAATTTGGGCAATGTTCCATATTTTCTCTAGAATACAAGCTCTGAACACCTTCTAGAATATGCTCAGGAACCCATCTTGTTCACTGCTGTATCCAGAAGACCTTGAACAGTGCCGAGTACGTGGGAGGTCTCAATAAGTAATGTTGAATACATGAATTTCCTCAATAAATGATGTTAAATACAAAAAAAAAAATTCCTAAGGTCTCCGTCATCACCATAAATGTCTATTCTCAAACGAATGTTCTTTCTCACATATATTATAAATAAATAATATCTTTCCTCTAAAAAAAAGGAAGTGAGGTACCAACAAGAATTCATTTATAAGAAAAACTTATAAGAAAATATATATTGGAAAGTAGAGGAAAATAAATCTTTGAATTTTGCCAGGAGATAAATTTGAAATGGAAAACATCTGTGAGAATGACATTTGAAGTTCATCAGATTTTTATTTCTTACCCCTGGAAGTATACCTACTCTTGTTTTCCTTCTCTCTGGCCCTAGACAAGCTTTGGTTTTGTGAACAGTCTTTTCCACATCTTCAAGGACTATGTCGACACTTCTGAGACTTTACCATCGTTGGATTTCATTTCTGTGCTCACAAAGGTAAAATCCGTACTTCTATGTGAAAAATTCACCTACCTCTCAGGATAGTTGTTTATATCTCCTTAATCGTTGTTATTGTTGTTCCTGGGAAGGTTCCACCTGCACCCTCCCACAAGGGAACTATCCCTTTCCCCACCAATCAACATTTTCAGAAATAACTTGCAGAATCTGCTTCTCCATTGTCATCTCTCCTGTGTGGGTTTTATTAAGACAAAAATCTGCATGCATGGAAAAGCCATTTTCAAGTCTGGTTTTCAAATGACTTCAATTTAAAGCTGTATTCATGGCAGTAGTTTGTGTAGGCTAATTACATGGTTCAGTTGTTCTTCTAACAAAAGTGCCAGGCTCTCTGAAAGGAACAAAATAAACCTTCAAATCCATTAACACCCTTAATAAGACTTCTGTGTATGAAAGGAGGAGAAAAGAGGAAAACCTGTACCTGTGGTCTGATAAATGCTATTTTTTTTCTTAAGTAGGTATTTGAACCTCTTCCCCTACTTTGAGCTTTTTAATTCAGTCCCTATCTATTCTCATTTAGCAAGATTTAAATTGTTACAGTCTACTTAAAAAAACATAGATTGAGGTTTATTGAGCACTTACTAAGTACTTATGTGTGGGACTGATACCCTGTGCACAGTAATGTGCAGAATTAGACACGCCCCCTGCTTGGGGGAGTCTTCAGTCTAGTGGGGAAGAAATTAATCCAATGACGACACTAATGATTATATAATCAAATTGAGGTCAATGCTGGGGAAAAAAGGAACATAGATATTATGAAGGAAAACTTCTAGGTTGGGGCATATGGTGAAGTAGTTACAGACAGGAAATTCTTCCTGGGGCGATGATGCTTGAGGTGAGATATGAAGAAAAACAGTTTAACAAGGCAAAACAAGCAAAAATTAGGTATAAAGTGGGGAGATCTTTCAGTGACCTTCGAAAGCAGATTAGAATAAGAAAAGCTTTGAGAAACAAGAGAAAGAATGTAAAGTGTTAGGAATTACCTAAAATCTCACACTCTCTCAATTCCTTTAGAGTCAGAAATTATCTTTTTTTTTAGGACCATCACATGCTACACATTTTTTGTTTTTGTTAGACAAAGGGGCGGAGCCCTTAGTAAGTTACATAATGGACATGAATATTTGGATGTGTATTGGTTCAAGGTCTGAAGTCCCCTTGGTTTTCTTGATAATTTCTTTACTCCATCAAAGGCTAGGACAACTGGCGGGCTTTGCTCCACTTGGCTCTATCCATCTCCTTGGATCAGTGCACTAGCCTGGTCATCCTCTTCTCACGGTAATGGGTGGAAGCACAGAAGAGCATAAACACCCATTATATTGGGTGTTTCATTTTGTGGCTCTTGCTTGGGACATAGAAGCTGGTGGCAAACATATCTGGTAATACTCATCTAAAGGCTGACACCTTGCTTGGGACATTAGCACCAAGACCTGGCATCCTAGAATTTATTTTTAATGTACTTTTTAGTAAATAGTCTGGAGAAATATCAACTTCTCATCAAAACACGTAAGTTGTCTTAGTCTGCTCAGTCTGCTATAATGAAGTGCCACAGACTGGGTAGCTTATAAGCAACAGATATCAATTTCTCACAGTTCTGGAGGGTGGAAGTCTGAGATCAGGGTGGTGCCCAGGTCATGTGAGGGCCCTCTTACTGTATCCTTTGGAAGGGGCTAGACAGCTGTCTCGAGCCTATTTATAAGGGCATTAATCTCATTTATGGGGGCTCCACCTTTATGACCTAATCATCTCCTAAAGGGCCCACCTCCTAATACTGTCACATTGGGGGTTAGGATTCAACATGTGAATTTGAGGGGAACACACATATTCAGACTATAGCGTAAGTGCACTTACAGCCTACTACAGCATAGACTCTTTGCTGAAAGTCAATAATACCCACATAGGAATGCTTCGTGTTACATTACAGATGTGTAAAGATGGGCTATAAAAGTTTTTCCTAAATTTAAAAAGGCCTACATGAGTCAGGTTAATTTCAGTTATACCACAGGAACAAACTCCAAATCTCAGTGGCTTGGTTTCATATCTCACTTATGCTCTGCTCCTACTTTGTCCTTGCTCTGGCACCGCTGCTGAGGGAGCACCCACCACCTGGAATGTTACCAGTCTCAAGGGCAAAGACGTAAGAGACTGAGGCAGAGCTCTTACTGACTCTTCAAGTTTCGGGCATGTCTGTTCACATTTCATCGGCCTAAAAAAGTCGCATGGCCAAGCTTACCCTCAGTGGAGTGGGCATCTATATTCCTCCCTAGGAAAGGGAACTAGATGAGCAGTGATAACAGTCTACCACGGTGTCTCAGAAGAAGCTCACCAGTGGAAGATTGGGACGTTTGTTATCCACACAAAAGCCATCTGAGAAGTCGCTGAGAAGGAAGCTGAGGCTTGGAGAAGTTAAATCACTTGGCCAAGTTCACATAGCCAGTGGGTTGTAGAGCTGCATTTCTAAGCCTGACTGTTTATGGTCTTCACAGCAGGCTCCTCGTAATGGCCTTTCTCAAGCATCTCAAGGTGACCTGTGAGAAGACCTTCTGTTTATTTCCAAGCCCCCAGCTATCACCAACCCCCCAGGAAAAAATTAATTCACATTATCAGCTTTCAAATTACTTCTTCTTGAAGGCAAAACTTGACATTTCCCCCCATAGCGTTTTGTCCTCTGAGGTCCTATAGCAAAATATTTTTCTAGGTTTTTGTTATCTCTGCCTTTACTACTGTCACTTCCTTTACTCGCCTGTTAGGCTTGGTCTGCTGTCTCTACTCACTGCAGTTATAATGTTACCAGCAAGTGTGTCTTCCTTCTCCCATTCACCACATTATGACGCTATTGGAAATTCCCTAATGGAACCCATTACTCATTATACTAATTAATAAACCTATCAAGGAGCACGTAGGCTTAGCAACGTGGTAGGCACTATGGAGTACTAAAGAGAGTGTCTACCAGTAAGGAGCCAGAAGCATTGGTGAAGAGAAAAGAATAACTGTCATTCCCGAGACAGACACTTAACTGAGATGTGCCCAGTTTGACCATTATACATATGAATGTATACATACGAATTGGCCACTTGCCTCATTTTAAAATAAATTTGATATGGCTTACGAATGTAGTCATTATAGCAAGTTTAAGGCATTACATAAGCATAATGAAGAAGGAACACAAGTGTTAGATTGGGTAAGACTAGCACATAGAATGCATGCTACGAAACTACATTTACTAGAGGTGCCCCAAATTTGACTCTCTATTTTTAGAAGCTGGAAGGAAAATTCAGTATGCGGATATTTTTGAGGAAGATTTAGTGAAAGGTCAGATGTTGTTACCTTAATCACTTACTACGAACACAAGCTTGACATCAGCAACATGAGCAGTGAAACCAAAGGAGGTGTTTGTTATCAGGTTCCATGCAGTGTGTGTAGGCCTCAACAAAGCATAAGTGCAAGGGTGAATTAAATCAATATGTCCTAAATAGAATTTTCTTTATGGGCAAAAAAAAAAGGCAACTTATTGAGGAGTTAACTGTTTATTATGGGGATATCGGGGTTTTTTAAAACAATGTTTATTTTGAAGATTACCTGTTACTATCCATGCAGTCATAGCTCCTACTTGATAATGGTGCCTCCTCCACTTTCCCTGTTCTAGTTGCTGATAAAAGTGAAGAGAAAGAGAAAGTCTGTCTGTGCTCTCTTTGCTTCCAATCATTCTCCCTCTGTCCTTCTCCTCTTGCAGTATTTCCAAGGAAGCCTGTGTCAGAGCCACCAGACCTACTGCCTGAATTACTCAGCTGCTGTCTTTTATCTTGAGAGTCTGAGGCAGAGAGGGGACTTTGGAATTTATTTAAAAGTAAAGTACCAGGTTCTTTTCTTTTATATTTTTCCTGAGACTCTTTGGATATAACAGGTACTAGGGATTATTAGACCCAAATTAAATGGGAAAGAAGGAAAATAAAGGATCAACCATACATTTTAACTACAAACCTGCTTTCCTTATAAAGACATCATCCTCTGCATACTTAGGATTTTAAATGGTGCACTTCTGGAAACACTGATCATCTAATGTCCCTCCTGAGATTTTGGCTGGAGCTTTACAGTGCTTTATTCGTTCGTTGGTTTGTTTTTGGAAGGAATTGGTGAGAAAACTAGAGTAGGAACTGAGGCTTTGTTACTAGAGGTTTGGCTCTTGCAGGATTTGGCCCCAGCAAGGTCCTGTTGCACAAAAGCTGGGCGCACCATTTACCTTGTATTCTGTGTGAATGGTGCTTCCTGGAGGACGTCAGAGCACACAGTGTAAACACTGCCCCTGAAGTTGTCTAGCATGGTGGCTATGGGTCCCAAAGTGTTATTAGAACAAGGAAGCTCTGCTAGGGACCTTCAGCGTTTGCTAATAAGCAAAACCGAAAAGAATTTTCCTTGACTTCCCTACTTCCTTTAACCCCTTTTTGACATGTCTTTAGTCTGAACCGTACCTTTCAGCCTTTCAGTATTATGCCAGAGCCCTTTTCATGACCCAAGAAAATGGTCCAAGCCTTTCCAGAAAACCAGCTGTTCCCTGCAGCTGCAGGAAGCACCTGCCAGAGCATCACCTCAGAGCTATGGGAGGAATGGCCACCACACACAGTTTCCAACAACTTTGCTGTGAATTGGTGCATCTTTGCCATGGCCAGGATGTGCCAGGAAACCTGGGCGTGGCATGAATGATCTTGGAAAGAGACTTGGCTCTATTTTTATAGCTTCATCATTTCAATGTTTTCTTTGCTACTCAAACCAAAACCTGAAAGCTCATTAGATTTCCAGGGTATGAATAATCTTGTTGCAAAAGTTTTCCCTGGAAGCTTATGGTTGAGACCCTCGCCAAGCCCCCAAACTAGGGAGAATCCAGGTTCATTCCTCTCCCTTCCATGCTAGGGCAGAGAATAATTTAACAAGGCTCAGACATTGTTTTCAAGTAACTGGAAAATCCTGTAACAACTGTGACACAGAAGTTTATATTTATATATAAAATATATACAGCATCCAAAGATATTTAGGGAAAGGAATAAAGGATGCACTGTTGTAATGATGATATATGATACTTTTATAATGCATAATGTTTTGCCAAGTACTTTCTCAAACAACTCTTTTTTTTAATAAATTTATTTTATTTATTTATTTTTGGCTGTGTTAGGTTTGCATTGCTGCGTGCGGGTTTTCTCTAGTTGCAGCGAGCAGGGGCTACTCTTCATTGCAGTGTGCATGCTTCTCATTGTGGTGGCTTCTCTTATTGCAGAGCACGGCTCTAGGTGCACGGGCTTCAGTAGTTGTGGCACGAGGGCTCAGTAGTTGTGGCACACGGGCTTAGTTGCTCCGTGGCATGTGGAATCTTCCTGGACCAGGGCTTAAACCCATGTCCCCTGCATTGGCAGGCAGATTCTTAACCACCACTCTCCAGGGAAGTCCCAATACCGTACTGTTTAATGACTGTAGCTTTGTAGTATAGTCTGAAGTCAGGGAGTCTGGTTCCTCCAGCTCCATTTTCCTTTCTCAAGATTGCTTTGGCTATTTGGGGTCTTTTGTGTTTCCATACAAATTAATTTTTTTTCTAGTTCTGTGAAAAATACCATTGGTAATTTGATAGGGATTGCATTGAATCTGTAGATTGCCTTGGGTAGTACAGTCATTTTGACAATATTGATTCTTCCAGTCCAAGAACACAGTATATCTTTCCATCTGTTTATGTCATCTTTGATTTCTTTCATCAGCATCTTATAGTTTTTGGAGTATAGGTCTTTTGCCTCCTTAGGTAGGTTTATTCCTAGATATTTTGTTCGTTTTGTTGCAGTGGTAAATGAGAGTGTTTCCTTAATTTCTCTTTCAGATTTTTCATCATTAGTATATAGGAATGCAAGAGGTATCTGTGCATTAATTTTGTATCCTGCAACTTTACCAAATTCATTGATGAGCTCTGGTATTTTTCTGGTAGCGTCTTTAGGATTTTCTATGTATAGTATCCTGTCATCTGCAAACAGTGACAGTTTTACTTCTTTTCCAATTTGTATTCCTTTTATTTCTTTTTCTTCGCTGATTGCCGTGGCTAGGATTTCCAAAACTATGTTGAATAATAGAGGTAAAGTGGACATCCTTGTCTTGTTCCTGATCTTAGAAGAAATGCTTTCAGTTTTTCACCATTGAGAATGATGTTTGCTGTGGGTTTGTCGTATATGGCCTTTATTATGTTGAGGTCGGTTCCCTCTATGCCCACTTTCTGGAGAGTTTTTATCATAAATGGATGTCGAATTTTATCAAAAGCTTTTTCTGCAACTATTGAGATGATCATAAAGTTTTTATTTAACAATTTGTTAATGTGGTGTGTCACACTGATTGATTTGCAGATGTTAAAAAATCCTTGCAGCCCTGGGATAAATCCCACTTGACCATGATGTATGATTCTTTTAATGTATTGTTAGACTTGATTTCCTAGTATTTTGTTGAGGATTTTCATGTCTATGTTCATTAGTGATACTGGCCTATAATTTTCTTTTTTTGTGATATCTTTGTCTGGTTTTGGTGTCAGAGTGATGGTGCCTTCATAGAATGAGTTTGGGGGTGTTCCTTCCTCTGCAGTTTTTTGGAATAGTTTCAGAAGGATAGGTGTTAACTCTTCTCTAAATGTCTGGTGAGCCATACCATTTTTAATTTTCTAGTTTCTAGTTGTGCCCTTTTTTCCACTTAGAGAAGTTCCTTTAGCATTTGTTGTAAAACTGGGTTCGTGACAGTGAACTCTTTCTGCTTTTGCTTCTGTGTGAAGGTTTTGATTTCTCTGTCAGATCTGAACGAGAGCCTTGCTGGGTAGAGTATTCTTGGTTGTAGGTTTTTCCCTTTCATCACTTCGAATATATCATGCCACTCCCTTCTGGCCTTCAGAACTTCTGCTGAAAAATCAGCTGATAGTCTTATGGGGATTCCCTTGTATTTATTTAATATTTTCTCTTTGTCTTTAATTTTTGTCAATTTGATTACTATGTTTCTTGGCGTGTTCCTCCTTGGGTTTATCCTGTAAGGGACTCTGCACTTACTGGACTTGGGTGACTGTTTCCTTTCCAGTGTTAGGGAGGTTTTCAGCTATTATCTCTTCAAATATTTTCTCAGGTCCTTACTCTCTCTCTCCTCCTCTGGGACCCCTATAATGCAGACATTGGTGTGTTCGACATTGTCCCAGAAGTCTCTTAAATTGTCCTCATTTCTTTTCATTCTTTTTTATTCCGTTCTGCGGCAGTGATTCCCACCACTCTGTCTTCCAGCTCATTGATTCATTCTTCTGCATCACTTATTCTGCTATTGATTCCTTCTAGTGTATTTTTTCATTTCAGTTATTGTATTCTTCAACTCTGTTTGGTTATTTTTTTATATTTTCTAACTCTTTGCTAAAAACTTGTAACTTCTCACTTTATATATCCATTCTTTTCCCGAGTTCTTGTATCATCTTTATGGTCATTACACTGAACTCTTTTCTCGGGTAGATTGGCTATCTCCACTTTGCTTAGTTGTTCTTCTGGAGTTTAATCTTCTTCCTTCGTCTGGAACATATTCCTATGCCAACTCATTGTGTTTAAATTTCTGTTTGTATTTTTATGTATGTAGTAGCTTAGTTACATTTCTCAGTCTTGGATAAGTGATCCCCTGAAGGGGAAGTCCTATACGTGCCAACAGTACACTCCCTCTCATCAGTCAAGGGCCAGGGACCAACTGGTCCCAGGTTAGGTTCTGACCTATGTTTGTGGACTTAGTTCTGCAGGCTGCAGGATTGTAGTTTTCCTTGCTTCTGGTGTCTGACCCCTGACACTGCTCTAGCCGTTATGCAGGCTCCCTGGTGGGAGGGGCTGGTGGTTGGAGCTGGGTCTTTGCCCTCTGGTGGGCAGGGCTGTGGGAGGGGGTGTGGCTAGAGGTGACTGTGGGCTCAGGATGACTTTAGGCAGCCTGTCTACTGATGGCTGGGGCTGTGTTCCCACCTTGTTGGTTGTTTGGCCTGAGGCATCCCAGCACTGGAGCTAATAGCCTGTTGGATGGGGCCAGGTCTCAGTGCCAAGGACCCAAAATGTCTGCCTCCAGCCAGAGTTCACATAGGTCCCCGCTATGTCCACCACCAGCTTTTATGACTCCAGAGAGATCCATGGACACCCCTGCCTCCCTAGGAGACCCTTCAATACCAGCAGGTAGGTCTGGCCCAGGCTCCTATGTAGTCACTGCTTTGCCCTGGGACCTGGTGCACATGGGACCTTGTCTGCACCCTCCAAGAGTGGAATCTCTGTTTCCCCCAGTCCTGTGGAGCTTCTGCAATCAAGCCCTACTAGCCTTCAAAGCCATATGTTCTGCTGACGTAGGGCTCAGAGCTCTCACTTCTATGGGAGAACTTCTCTGATATAATTATTCTCCAATTTGTGGGTTGCCCACCCGGGCAGTATGGGATTTGATTATATCATGAGTGCACCCCTCCTACTGTCTCACGTTTTCTTTTTTATGTCTTTGGATGTAGAATCTTGTTTTGGTAGGTTCCAGTCCTTTTTATCAATGGTGTTCAGCAGTTAGTTGTGATTTTAGTGTGCTTGTAAGAGCAGGTGAGCTCAGTGTCCTTCTGCTCTGCCATCTTGTTTCCCTCTACTCCTTGGTCAGGTTTATTCCTAAGTATTTTTTTTTTGATGTGATATTAAAAAGGATTTTTTAACTTTCCCTTTCTGATATTTCATGTTAGTGTAAAGAAATGCAACAGATTTCTGTGTGTTAGTCTTGTATCCTGCTACCTTGCTGAATTTATCAGTTCTAGTAGTTTTTGTGTGGAGTCTTTAAGGTTTTCTATATATAGTATCATAT